TCCTAGGGTCCTGTCCCATTGCAAGTCTCTGTTGTTGGGAGAGGGTCCTGGGGATCCTGCCCCATTGCAGGACCCTATGACTGGGAGAGGGTCCTGGGGTTGTGCCCCATTGCAGGGCGCTCTTGTGGGGAGAGGATCCCAGGGGTCCTGTCCCAGTGTAGGACCCCATTGTGGGGAGAGGGTCCTGGAGGTCCTGCCCTGTTATGGGACCCTGTGGCAGGGAGAGGGTCCTGGGGGTCCTGCCCCACTGCAGGCCCCTGTTGTGAGGAGAGGGTCCCGATGTCCTGTCCCATTGCAGGGCCCTGTGGCTGGGAGAGGGTCCTGGAGTCCTGCCCCATTGTGATTTTTTAAATTTAAAAAAAAATTTTTTTTTTGGTGGGGTGGGGGGAAGAATGGGGGATACATGGGATGTTGTAAGAGGGTCCTGAAGAATTTACCTTATTGTAGGAGAGAGAGATCATGGTGGGGAGGGGACCGCCCTCTTGTAGGGTGCTCCCTATGGCAGGGAGGTCCAAGGGGTCTGCCCCATTGCAGGGAGGGAGCCCTGGAGCAGGAGGCAGGTCTGCCCCATTGCAGGGGGTCTTCCCCATGATGGTAGGGGCTGCGCTAGGGTGCCCTGCCCCATGGCAGGGAGGGAGCCCTGGGCCGGGGGCAAGGGGGTAAGCCTGCCCCATTGCAGGGGACCTCCCCATGATGGTAGGGGCTGCACTAGGGTGGTCTTGCAGACCTGCCCTATTGCAGGGGGGTCTTGGTGTGCATGCCCCATTGCAGGAGGCACCTATCCTGCTGCGGGGGGGTCTGGGGAGCTGCTCTATTGCAGTGAGTGCCCCATTGCAGTGGGTCTCTGGAGGCCCTACCCTGTTGCAGCAGGTCTCTGGGGGCCCTGCCCCACTGCAGGGAGGGAACCCTGGGTGGGGGGGCAGGTCTGTGACAGAAGGGGGTGCACTCGGGTGGTCCTGGGGACCCACCACATTGCAGGCGGGAGCTGTCCCATTGCAGGGGGGCTGTGGGGGTCTGCCCCACTGCAGGGATGCCCCAGGGGGGCAGTGCTGGGCCCCACGTGCCCAGGCTGCCTGTGCCCGCAGGCCATGGCGGCGGCGGCCGGTCCCACGCGGCTGCTGGAGGTGTGCGGGCAGCGCCTCTCCCGGCTGCTCCACGACGCCCGGCACAAGCGCCTGGCCTGGCTGCGCGCGGCCGAGGAGCAGGGCATGCGGCTGCTGCACAGGTGCGTGTCCCCCCGACGGGCTCCCCGGCGCCGCCTTTGGGGTGCAGCTGCATGGGGGGCCCCCCTTGCGCCTCCCTGAGCCTCTCTTGTCTCTGTGCCCAACAGCAACTTCGGGGCCGAGCCGCAGCTGGTGCCCAAGACGCCGTCGCAGAGGAGGCGCCCGCGGAAGAGGCCGTCGGCCTCGCTGAGGGACGAGAGCAGGGAGCCGACCCGCAGGAGGTGGGTGGAAGGGGAAGCCGCAGGGGACCTTTAACTCCGAGGTGAAACAAAGCCGAGCGGGATCGCTCCGCACCCTTCCCAACRGCCGCCTTGCTTTCCTGAGCTGATAAATGTGCTTAACGGGGCACGTCTGGTTCAGAAATAGGTCAGCTCCGCRTGTCCTGTGGATGTTTGGTAAACGGTTGCTTGGTTTTCTCCACCTTTTTTTTTTTCTCTCTTGGTTAGAAACAATAATAAATATTGTTCCTCTTGGTGTTCACACCCCGGATCTTTTATCGGTGCCTGAGAACCCGGAGYTGGGGCTCGTTACCAAACAGGCACCAAGTGCCGTGTTCGCTCACGTGGGCAGGCTGAAACTTGTTACCCGGAGGATCTGCTGCTCCTGGGCAGCACTYGCTTGCAGGCACGAGCAGGGATGGCTCTGCTGCTCAGTATCTGCTCTGGTGGCCCTCTTTCCTGGTACCTAGGTAGGTGTTTCCTCTGGTGGCCAGTGGCAACGTGGTTGAGGTGGCCTTCCCTTCAGAGAAGCCTGGGCACGTGGATGGTGGCGATGGAAACCGGCTGGAGCGCCCCGTTTGTGCTTGGAGGCGCTCGGGGTTTGGGATCCGTGGTGGGAAAAAACCCCAGGCAGGAAGGGTTGGAGCTGAAAGGTTCTGGAAACAAGGGCTGGAGGCTGGAGAGAAGCGGGAGAATCCCCAGGAGTGTGGGGTGTTCCTGTGTGTCTGGCTAAGGAGGGCGGCAGGTCTAAACAGGGAGACCTTAACGGCATCCTGTTAGCTGCCAAGCAGCTGGGCTGCTCCCCGACAGAAGACAAATCGCCCTAGGTTTCTAAAAGAAGCTTTGCAAAAGAAAACAAACAAGAAGCACTCCTTCAGAGAGGATAAGGTGCCCAGAAGGAGGGTGATCGCTCAGCAAGAGGAAGTTCATCCTGCAGTTCAGCACTTTGCCGCATCCTGCGGGATCGGGCTGCTGCTGTTTCCTCCCCTCAGCACGTTTGCCTTTTGCTCTGGTCTTTCCTTAAATCACTTAGTGCGTTTTTAACTTCCCCCTCTTTAAATGAAGGCGGCTTGGGAGGCTCCCTGGAGCCCTGGTTGCCGTGTCGGATTTTGCTGCGGAGCTCTGGATTGGTGCCACCGGTGCGAGTTTGCTGTSCTCCAATGTCCCCAGCTAGGGGTCCCTCTCCGCACAGAGCAGTGGATGTCCTGGCATCTCAACCTATCCGTGTCCCCAGAAAACACCCCTGGCACCAGGAAAACTCGCAGGTCCTTCAGCACAGAGCAGCAGGATGGAGCAAAATGCAGCAGCGAGGTGCAAACCCCAGCAGGCTGTGGGGAGCCGTAAGCTCCGAGTCGCTCCAGCCTGGCCGGCCGGAGCACATCTGGGAGCGATGCAGGGGGGAAGCCCGTAGGTTCACAGTGAAATTTGTCTGCTTTTTGCTCCRAAACCGTGTGGGAGCCTCGTGCACCCCTCGATAACTTCCCTGTTTTGTTTGCTTTTATCTAAGGTTATCCAGGAGGAGGAGCAGCGCCAAGCTGGCATCCTGCAAGCCGGCTTCCCAGCGGCGCTGGAGCAGGGAGCTGCCCCAGGACCGTGGTGCTCCAGCGGGAGAGGTGCCAGATGGAGGTGCAGCAGAGATCCCAGCACTGCCTCACAAACCAACACCCGAAACGGAGGTCCTGGCAGCTGAACCAGGCGGTCCCGACAGCCCTGGCGCCGAGCCGAGGACGGGAGCCAGCGCCCGGAGCRGCCGGGAGCGGGAGCAGAGCCCCCACGTGGGCACCTCCACTCCCAAGGCCGACGGAAGCGGGAGCCCCGCGGCTGATCCCGGAGCTCCGTCTCCGCAGGACCCGGGACAAGGGCTTTTCCAGGACGCCTCCGGCAAAGGGCCCGCGGCGAGGGCCAAGGCGCGTCGCTCCTCCGCGCGCCGCCGCCGGAGCCACCGGGCCTCCTTGGCCGGAAAATATTCCCTGGCCGGCAAAAGGGAGAGCATGATCCGCAGATCCATCGGCAGGGCCRTGGCGAGGAAGGCAGCGGCTCGGGAGTCGTCCTCTGCCTCCAGCAGACTGAGCTGTGAGTTCCTGGTGACCAAGTGGGATTTGGTGCCCTCAGCCAGAGGCTTCCTGGCCTCTAGCTGCTTAGGGTGTCGTTTCCAGGTCCCCGCCTGCTGCTGGGCCTAGTTCCAGGCCCAGTTTTTCCTGCTTTGCTGCAGTGAGTGAGGGACCCCAGTGTGGGCGTGGAGATTGGGTCACACTGTTTGCAGGTGGCTGGAAAAGTGAGAGGGGAGAAGGAAATTGAGGCCCTGCTCCCCCTAGCCACAGGGGTGGGTTCACCCTGTGTTGGCTTGATGAGGCCAAACTGTTGAATTCCCTTTGGAGGGGCTTTAATCCAAGCACCAGCCCTTAAAAAGGGCTGCAGGGAGTGAGTGTCTCCACCTGCTGAGACTTGGCTCAAGTTGGCAAAGGAGCTTGGATGCTTTGGGGGTGAAGGTGGAAGAGTGATGGGACTGAGGCCCGAATCACATGGTGCCACGAGGAAACGGGGTTCAGGAGCTGCGTGCCCTGCCCTCGGGGCTCCTCAGGAGGCTCTGCTCTCCGGGCTTCCTGACGGCAGCGTGTCTGAGGGCAGAGCGGTTCCTAACGGAGCACTAATGCCCTTGGCATGCGGTTTGGTCAGCCCTGAGTCACCCCGTGTTTGTTAAACGGCTCCAACCAAGCGGTGTCATGGGAGGAGGAGAAATCGGCCACAATGCCGTGCAGGGAGGCGGCAGCTGGAGTCCCTCGGCTTGGGAATGGGGCTGGCCGAGTGACCCGGGCRTCTTTGTGGCACTGTACCTGCCTGCAGACAGAGGAGCTGCCCTCTGTTCTCTGCCTTCCCAGCCCGTGGTGCTTTTGGCAGTGACCCCCACGGGAGGGTGKCAGGAGAGCTGGGATGAGCAATCGGTGCGTCCCTGGGAAGGGGAGCACACACGGAGACCTGTGCCTGGAGCCCGGCCACCCGCCGGGCAGGTCCCAAGGCAGTCAATGTCCCATGTGCTTTTTCCTCCCAGGTCAAAGCAACGGGGAGGTGTTCGAGGAAGACGACGTGACCGGTGATGTGAGGTGAGGTTGTCCTGTAGGGYCAGGCCTGTGCCAGAGGGCTGGGAGGCTCATGGAGGTGGCTAGGCGAATGCTGTGCTGGCAGTAGTAGCTGTTCCCGGCCTCTGGATACCCTGAAATCCAGCTTGGCAGAGGGACAGCTCTGCGTGAGGCTCGTGGAGCGTCTTGCTGCCTCCACAGAAGTCCTGCAGGACGGCACAGAACTCGCTCCTGTGGCTGCTCCGTGCAAAGTCGCAGTTCACTATAGGAATTAACTGCACTGTCTGTGTGGCCTGGCTGCAGGTGTCCCTACCATCTGCATTCCCTGGCTCCAATGTGCCAGCTCGGTTGTACTTTTATTAAGTGTCACTTGCTCTCTGTGAGGATCGCTGTCCTCACAGAGGTGCCTCAAGGACAAAGAGGGCAATTCCCTCTTCTGCCTCAGAGGGAATTGAAATAATTAAAATAGCCTTCCTTCTTTTCACAGAGCTGGACTGCAACAGAGCCCCCAGAGTGAAAAGGTAGGTCTGTCTTAGACCTGTAGGTGGGTCTAGGCTGGTGGGCACGGGCTGGTGGCTGACATCCACTTAGGAAGCAGGGGAAAAGGTGGCTGTGCAGCCACCCCAGCAGCCCCGTGGGGTGTTGTGCTGCAGTGACCTTGTTCTTTGCACACCTAGATTCCTAACGRTGCCATAAGCTGAGACTGCCAAGGGATTTATCCATATGTTAAGACTAAAGTGTCTGTAGTTTGAGCAGTGCTGTCCCCAAGGTGTGCAGAGGCTGCCCGTCCCTTGTGAGGAGCTTGGCCTGCAGAGTGCAGGTGGAGCAAAGGGAAGCAGCCTGCCCTGTGGGAGAAGGGCTGTGAGCAGCTGCTGTCCTCCTGCAGAGGCTGCTGCCTCGTGAGCAGGGCTCTGAAATGCTGCTCAGATGAGTCAGAGCTGACAGGGAAGCAGCACAGCTCTGACRGGAGCCAGCCCTGGCCTGGCAGTCCGATGTGACTGGCTTTTCCAGGACAGAAAGGCCCATTTTAATCCTTTCCYGTGGAGGCTCCATGCTATAAGGACAGTGTTTCCTTCTCCTGCAGGCTCCGGAGAGCTCCCTTGCTGCAAGCCAAAGGATGCAAGCGGCCGGCCCTGCAGCACGGCACCCACCTCCCGCTGAGCAGCCAGCGGGGAGCAGCCAAGGTACCGAGATGCCTTGGGTTTGGCCTCCCTTCCCTGGGGCCACAGGGTCAACGTGAGCATGTGGGGACAACAGGGGACACGGAATTACCTCTGGCCAGGTTTTTGGAGAAACTTGATCTCCAGAGGGCATGAAACCTCTGCGGTTAGATCAAGCGAGCACCTCTTGTCAGTATTTCCARGCTTTGAGAAAAATGCTTCCTTGACAGGCATCAGTGTCCATGGGGATGTTTTCAATGATCCCTCATGGACCTGAAGTCTTCTGGCTGGCTGAATGTTGTGTTACAGCRCCATGACATCAATCTCCTTGAGGCTGTGTAGCGTAAGGGATTACAGGTCCTCTTTATTTAATGTCCCTCAAAGCAAAGTTCTTCAAAGCTTTTTATTTATTTCCTGTGGAAGTTGCATAGTCCTAAAGARGCTGGAGTAAAGAGCAGCATCTTCTGCTGAGATAAGCTGTGCCTCTTCAGAAGGATGTGCTCAAGGTACAGGCACGACACTGGCGTGCAGGGCAGTCGAGTGGGTCTGTTTGCCAGCACAGTTTCATTCAGTGGGACTCTTGGCACCTGAGAGCTGGAGATAAGTCAGGGCTTGCAGCAGGGTGCCTTGCATACGGTGCCAACTGCTTTATTTTTATTTTCTTCCCCAGGAAGCTGTGGAAATGCAACCAGCGAGCCCCAGAAGGAGAACCAGGAGCAAGCCCACAGTGCCAAGCCCCAGGAGAAGCCCTTGCGTATCTGGTATGAGGCCTTTGCAGGGAGAGGGAATGAGTTGGACTGGTCTGGAAGGGCTTGGTTGTGGCCTGCTAAGTAACCTCAAAGCTGTGTGGTGGGTGCGAAGGGAATAGCAGGAGCCTCTGTTCTCCTGAGGATACTGGTGATGGGTTGGGGGAAGCCTTTGGCTTCAGGCTGCTCATGGCCAGCCTGCACTGCCACCTAACCAGCCTCCTGCTACCGCCCTCAGGACACGGAGCTGCAAACAGGCCATGGGTGCCATGTGGGACAGGCAGCAGCCAGGAGCCCGGGCCCTTTCCCCTCTGGAAGAGAAGCATGTGGATTGTGCAAACCACGCGGCATCTCCAGCCAGCAAGGTGAAGGGATGTCCCTGTTGTCCCGGACCACCCGCTCCCTGGCGCGTGTGACCTCCCTGTGTCCTCTCCTCCAGGTTGTCCGGCCCTTGAAGAACTTCCTGCAGGCCGTGCAGAGGAACCAGCTGCTGGCCAGCCCGGGCGCYGCGGGGCGAGGGGGTGTCATAAGGAACCTCATCAAGCGCAACACTCCCACGCGGCCCGATCCAAAGGTGCCTCGAGCTCCCACCTTCCTGTGCCAGGCTGGAGCAAGGGCACGGGCCAGGGTTTGGGGAGCAGCAGGAGGGACTGTGTGCTCAGAGACACATAAACACGCTGCCTGTCTACTGCCGGGGCTGGTCTACAAGTGTTTTAGCACTTAAATGTGTTTTAGCATCAGCCTTCAGGCCTTTCCCGTTCCTAGGTAAATCCCAGCTGGTCTGTCTGCGACCAGCAGAAATGTCTTGTGGTGTTAGGGCTCTTGAACCCAGAGAAAATGGGAAGCTCTGCTGCACCTGGTGGGAATTGGCTCTTCTGTGCAGCGTGGCAGGCTGCTGTGGGGCTGGGATACAGGCGGTGAGGGACCTGGCAGAGGCTTCCTGTCCATGGGCTAGTAAGGAAACTTTGCTATAAAGAGTTGTTGCCTCCAAAACCTTAATTTTTCCTTTTTTTTTTTTTTTTTCCTTTTCCCCCCCCACCTCTTTCTCTTTCTTTCTTTTCTTTCTCCTTACAGGGAGACTTTGTTGTAAGTAAGAATTTCCTTAACCGTGGGGTCTGGAAGACTGTGGTGGCTGCACTTGCATCCCAGGCAGTGGTAGCTCTTTCCCCTTGCCCTGGCATCCCTGGAGGCCTTCCGTTCTCTCCTCGGGGATGCACACTGGCCTGGCCAGTGGCAAGGCACGGGGCCTCCTTGCAGGTGCTGTGCTGGGCCTGGGAACTGCTGAGAAGCCCTGAGGCCTTTGGGCACCAGCCTGTTTGCCCCGGGCACCTTCTCCTGGCCGCTGACTGGGTTAGCACTGGGCTAGGCTGGCGTTTGCTGTGGGTATCTGCAGCAGGAGGTGCTGAGGGGCTGCCCTCCAAAACCAGGCAGCCCCTCTGCTCCACACAGGTGGTGTTGAATACACATTGCTGCCAGACCTGGTGTCTCTTCCCTGATATTCGCTGTCCTGCCACTGAGGGGTGACCAGGGCTCTGACAGTGACTTCTTAGCTTAGCAGCTGCCTGTGTATGGGCAGCCCGGGGGTAGAACCAGGCCCCAGGGGCTGATACAGTCTGAATCCTCTCCCTCCAGGAGAGAGAGCGGCAGAGGCTGGAAAGCCTCAGGAAGAAGCAGGAGGCTGAGGAACAGAGGAAGCAGAAAGTGGAGGAGGAGAAGAGACGGCGGCAGGCAGAAATGAAGCAGTGAGTTGGGTCTCTGGCCTCCTGCTCCGTCCCTGGTTTAGCCCAGGCCTTTGCTCCCAGGCAGGCAGCACTTTGTGCTCCTGTCTTTGCCTCTGCCCTGGAAGGAGCGTTCTGGGCACTGCTGCTCGTGGGCAGCTGCAGAAAGAACTGCCCTGGTGCAAAGCACCTGCTGGTAGCTGCTGAGCTGAGTCTAGATGACTTGCTCTGCCTCAGCTTAGCCTAAGCTCACAAGGGAAATAGCAGCGTCCTTGTGGCACGTGAAAGCTGCCGCGCTGGAGAGTGAGCCCCYATGGCAAGTCCTTGTGCCCCTCATCCTCCTCTGAGCCAGAGCAGGCAGAGCTAAGGGCCCCTCTTGCACGTGTGCTCCCCAGAAAGAGGGAAGAGCGGCTAAGGAAGGCGCTGCAGGCTCGGGAGCGGGTGGAACAAATGGAAGAAGAGAAGAAGAAGCGGATGGGACAGAAGCTTTTGCAGAGTGACGAGAAGGTAAGAGGTCTCGGCTCCCGTTGAGCTGTGAGACTGAGTGCCAGCCAGGCACCTATTGCACTTCCTCACCAGGGTGCTGCGTGCGGGCATGGGGGTGCTGTCGCTGGTGACTAATCAGGTGGTGGATAAGCCTGTATCTAAAACAGACTCTTGAAAGCCTCTGCTCGGTGAGAGGAGGCTCTGTGTTCACCAGCCTCTGCAGTAGCTCTGAATTCCTGTTCTGACATGCGCTTTATGGTGCTCTGCATTCGAGGAATGTGGCCTCGTCCTTTTGTGTGCGTGCTGGGAACGGGACAGGCAAGGGATGAGTTATTTGGCTAGTGGGCCCTTGGAGCGAGTYGCTCACCGTGAGGTGGTAGCCACATGCAGAGGGCTGCGGAAGTGTAGCAGGAGGGAAGAGGCGGAGAAGGGAGCTCCTGAGCACGAGCTGTGCTGGTGTTCCCTGTGTCTGCACGGACAATCCCTTCCCCTTCAAAAGAAGGAYCATCGTTGGGCCCCAGGGTTCTTGCTCCTTTTAGGTATGGACTGCAGCGACCCTTTGGAAGGGTCAGCCTTAGAAAGGAGCACCAGGTCCTTCATTTCCAGCTTTGTCCCCAAAGCTGAGGAGCCAAAAGCACACGCAGCCCTGGCCAGTCTGCTGCCGTGCACGTACTGATGCTTTCACCGGGTAAAGGAGCCTCGGCTCCGACTCGGCCAGTCGTCCTCATTCATAATGCACCTGAACTCGGTCACTAGAGAGCAGCACTGCAGGCAGAATGGGAACCCTGCTCTGCAGACCATCGCTCGCCAAGTTGGAAGGTGTCTTTTGGGGCTGTGTAATCATCTCTGCTCTTCTCTGCAGCCGCTCCAGGTGATGGGCTCCTCTTCACGTGGCCTGTAGTAAGTGGTGGACCTGTTGCACGAGGCTGGCACTGAAAGCAGTGGCTGCGTGGTGGGTGTTGGGTCCTCAGTCTGATTAGGACCTGGGTTTGATTAAGGCCCCAGACCTCAAACTTCTTCTGGTTTCCCCTGTTGGGGAAGGCTGTGACGCTTGTCCGTGGGGCTCTGGAGCAGATCTGTGTGGCTTTCCCAGGTTCGCCTCCCGCAAGCCCGGGAAGAGAAACTGGGAGAGGAGAAGAGCAAGAAAAAGCTCTCCAAGAAGGCTGAAGAAGCTGGTGCCCAGAAACAGAAAGCACTGAGGATGGTAAGAGCGACGCTGCATCCCTCCTGTGTGCAAAAAGGGCAGAAATAGCAGGGAACCTGCATGCTGTTTACTTCTGTGGGAGGACGATGGACTCCTGTCAGGGAATGGGGGAATGAGAGCATCAGCAGTGTGAGATTTCTGCTCAGTAAGYTGGAAGATGGGGTCGCTGTGGGGGCAGAAGGAGAAGGCTGCCCCACTGGTGACAGCCACGGCGGGGAAGAATAGGATAACAAGTACAGGTAGCCTCAAGCAGCTTGTCTTGCAATTTTCTGGTTTTCAAGGCTTTTGTTTCCTTCAGGACGACTACGAGTCTGAGCAGCAGGAGCTCCTGCAGAGAAGGAGAGAGGAGGAAGTGAAAGAAAAGGGCAAGAGAGTCTTGGAGCTGAAGAATCTGGTCGAGCAGCGGCAGGTGGAACAAGCGAAGGAGAGGTACGACAGCCTGGTGGGGACGGGGCAGAGCCTTGGCCAAGCAGTGGACGTGAACAGCAGTGCTGAGGCTGGGAGGCCTCGCTTGACTGGAGGCTCCGGGTGCTGAAGTTGGGAGCTGAGAGGGTGGTGGGTGGTGCTGGACACTTCCCTTTTGACTAAGTCCCTGTTTTATTCCCCAGGGATCCCAAACCATGGGGAAAGGAGAAGGCTGCCTCGCCACAGCTGGAGCTCGGAGCTTTCCGTGGGAAAAAAATAAAGGTAGGGAGCTGAGGTGGTCTTGCAGTAACTCCTCCCTTTTGAAGCCAGCGAGGACTGAAAATACCGTGTCACTGTTCAAGGTTTTGAAACTAACGGTTAGGTTGCCTGGAGGAACAACTGCAATGAATCTGACCACCAGCCAAATGTGTTGTTGCAATAAGAAATTGAGTTTTTTGCAAGAATGAGTTAACTCTCATTTCAGCAACAGAGCTGGTTTTGTGCTTCTGTTTGAGGAAGAGCTCTTAAAGACAATTTTTTTTAAGTCTTTTATTAATTTCCATATCTGTTTATTCCACTTACTGTATGGGTTTCACATGATGTCCAGAACAAACTTCAGGTATCATATGGCTTCRTGTAACCTCACTTGCACTTACACGAGGTTAGGAAAGAATCTTACGGCTTAGTCGAAGCTGCTTGTCTCAAAATATCACAGTACCTGTTCTTTCCACTCCTAACGAATTAACACCACTTTTTTTTTTTGCCTTTATTCTTTAGGTTTTTTTTGAAAAGAAAAAAAAAAAAGACACCCTCCAACTGCTATATTTAAGTGATTTTTTTTTTTTCCTTTTGTATCACTGCTCTTACTAGTCTAGTGGCTTTCAGACACCTATTTCTTCCTATCTAATTTTAATGGAGGTCTGAGTTCCTCATGTGCTGCCCGCAGCTGGGCTGCAGTGAGAGCTGACAAAGCTCTTGCAGATAAGAGGAGCCGGATCTAATTCGGAGTGACTGCAGGCCTGGCTCTCCTGTGAGCTGTGTGCTGCCTTTCCCTGCTCAGGAGAGAGCAAGAAGCAGTGCCTGGATAAAATGGCTTGGGTGAAAAAGCAGTTTATGCAGGARAAACCTCTTGGTGCTGTTTGACAGGAGGAGGAGAGCCCGACAGAACTGCCCCAGCTGCTTGGTCTGGAGAAGAGAGGCAAAGCAGCAGAATTCCCTGCCCCTGCTTCTAATCCATGGCTCAAAGTGGTGAAGGTGCGTGTGGGTTTGGGAGGCTCTGCAGCAAAGACAGGACTTGTCTGTGTGACTCTTGTCCTGGAGCAAAACTTTTAATGTTATTTTGTTTAAAATCCTCCACAATCTTTCTGCAAAACGAGAGTGTGACAGAGAATTTTGTACAAAGAGCAGCAGAAAGTGTGGCTCTCTCCAGAGGTAGAATCTGGTGGRTTTCCTTGAGGGAATGTGCATGAAGAATGACTTCCTGCTCGTGTCCTAACAGGAGGAAGGGAGTCTGCAGGAGCCTCCGCAGCAGGCAGGAGAGGAGAAGGAGAGAAAGCAACCGGAATTGAAGCCTGCTGCTTGCAGCACTTGGCAGAGCAAAGCCATGAAGGTGAGCCTGGCTTGCAGCAAGGCCCCAGTTACGTGGGGTCTGTGGTGCCTGACTGGTTTCAGCCTGCGGCTTTATTSAAAGGTAGCACTGGAGGAAAAGTGCAGGAGGTGAAATCCTGGAGCGTTGGCTCTTGGGATTTAACCACGGGCTGTGCTGTAAGGACAGGGAAGTCCTATTGCTCGCTTGGGTGAGTGCCGGGTGCAGGGAACGTGAGGGAAAAGCACATGCTCCTTCTCCTGGAGGGTCTTGGATCACCATGGGATGGCAGCATGTCCTGAGGCAGCCAGGCTGGGCGGCCCACATAGGGCTGCTGGACCGGAATTCTGGAACTGGGATGGAACTTGGACTGTGTGTGCCTCCTGAAGGAGGTTTTGGTGGGAACCACTTGGGCACAAAGCCTGGAAGGGGGGAGAAAAGGCTGCTCAGACAACTAGGCAGCCCCGAGTGCCGTCTCTGTTGGGTGCCCCTTCTCAGCTCTTAGCTGGAGGTGTCTGGCACGACGTGCCTTCCACCTGCATACAAGTGTGGGTGTCCTTCTTCTGCATTCCCTTATTTCTATACTTGGGTTGAGTGCTAAGAACCCCTTAGAATTAGGGTTGCCTTCCTGCTCGATCCTCTGGTCAGCGTCCCTTAAGCACTTTTGCAYTGCACGTAATTCTGAGGTCATCCCTGCAGCCCACCACGACTCCAGGAGGTGCCTCTGAGCTTGGCCTTGTGCCTTCCCGAAAGGAGCATGGAGGCCTGGCTTTTTCTGTGCGTGCACCAGGCTAGGGCAGGCCTCTCCTCGTGGTTTGGGAGCTGCGTGGTGGGCGAGCAGCCCTTTGGGCTTTGCTGTACCCGGCCCCGTGCTGCTGCTTGGCCTTCAGGGGGCCGTGGTCTCCAAGCAGGCGTCGGCAAAAAGGGCCAAAAGGATTTGAGCCCTGCTGGCTCCTCCAGGAAATCTCAACTGGTATTCTGTTGAGCAGGAATTAGGTGTATTGCAGAGGTTAAAGGCTTTCTCTGCACTAGTGTTGACCTTTCTGGCTCTCTTTCTGAGCAAGGGATGAAAAAGGGGTGTGCATGTGCTGCACCTGCTCTAAGTCTGCTGTGTGCTTGTTTCTGGCTGCCTTCCCCCTGGGCTGAAGTTCATTGCCCAGCAAATAGCTCTGGGAATTCACCTCTCTCTTAGAATTCATCCTCTGTGTGCAGACACTGCTCAGGTACCCTGTTAAGGTATCTGGGGTCTTAACACAGTCTGTCTGCTCTTCCAAAGCCTTGAGGGTCTGACCACCCAGGCCTGGCCGCAGCTCCCCCTGCAAGCCAAGCCCTCCTSTCTGCAGCTGCCAGGTAAAAAATGTTGGCTCTAATAATGAATGTCTTCCTCTGGTTTCAGAAATCTGTCTCCACGTCCTGCTTAGGATCACCACAGGAATCCAGGCCCCCCAAAGTCAGTGAAAATAATTATGGGATGGATCTGAACAGCGACGACTCCACAGATGACGAGGATGATCCCCGTAAGCCTGTCCCTTCCTGGGCCGATGGTAGGTGCAGAGTTTGGTCCTGCTTGTTTTCATTCCCTCACTAGGCAGCTGGGAGTTTCCAGCTTCTCCCAGTACAATTTCGGCTTCCCTAGTGTGTGACCTGGGAGGGTGCCAGTTCTCAGCAACAGCCAGGGCTTCAGGTGGTGAGGAGASCTGGAGCTGTGCTCTTGTGTTGAAGTTGAACCAAAGTCCTCTGCGCTGGATCCATCTGGATCCAAGGGCAGGAAAGGAAAAGTGGAAGCTCACTGCAGTGAAGAAGCCAATTCTCCTGAAAGGAAGTGAGCTGTGGTGGGATAGTTTATCCCAAGTTTGGGATAAATCGACCTAAAACAGTCTTAGTAGCCTGAAGATGGGTGTGCAAAGCACAAAGCTTTGTGAATACCAGGAAAAATACTAAYCTTCCCTTCTACACAGGTTTAAGTTTTTCAGGCATGGAAGGAGGTGTGCAGCAGTTCTGGGGGCTCTAAGGTGAAAGTTTCCTCGAGCAGAGCACCGARCTTATTTCTGAGTCTGCTTTCCTGCTGTGATTGTTTTTTGGTTTGRTTGATTTTTGTTTCTTTGTTTTACAGGGTCCCAGCTTAATCAAGCTATTTTACACCAGTACTATCACCCGGTGAATGTTGACCAGCTCTTTGGGTCGATTGCAAGCCCTAAACTGGAGGATATCTTTGGCAAGAGCAAACCTCGGTACTTCAAACGTACCAGCTCGGCCGTCTGGCATTCCCCACCTGAGGCAAAACCCACGTATGGCACGTCTTGCATCTTCAAAAACTGAGATAAGGCCGAGAAGGGTCTCCTCCCTGGGTGGTATATCCCTTGGCCTTTTGAGAGTGCAGAATATTTCTGGTTTTAATCCTTGATTTTGTATGAAAATAAAAGTATTAAAGTTTTCCCGTAAACATTCCCTCCTCCGTGCTCATCTGTGGTGTGGACAGGGCAGCTGTGCTGCTGCCCATGACTAACTCTGTCTGCTTCCTCAAGCTCGAAACTGAAGCTGCCCTGGGAGAGATCAATCTCGGTAAATCGACGTGAGGGCGCAATGTTCTCCCAAGCCCTTCTCAGCCATGTTTATGTGCTAATGATGCTTTTATGCGTAAGTATTAGATTTCAACTCCATATCCTTCTGATCTCATTACCCTGAGCCAGAGCGGGGCGGGGGGAAGCTTTATCTCTTTCAGCTAGAAAATACTGCCTGTGCGGGTTAAACTAAAGGTCTTGGGTGAGGAGGTATGGGGGTCTTCCTCCTCTTCCTCTTAGAACAAATGATGGTTTGTAGGCTGAATTCTGGGTGCTGTGTTTTTCCAGAAGCTCGAGGCTGCAGCCTCCCTCTGGGCAGGGTGCTGATTTATTTAAAAGCTGTGGCTTGGAAGGAGCGAGTGCCGGCTCGCGTGCCCGGCTCCCGGCGCGCGCATCTCCCGGCTCCGGCCGCGCATCCTGCCGCTACCTCCGGCCTCGGGAAGCTGTTGCCTGGTGACGGTTGGGACGCAGTGGGGCAGCAGCCGTGGGTCCCAGGGCCCTGCAGAGCTCTATGCGGGAAGCTACCTATCTGTGTACTGTTGCTCTTACAGCTGCTGCATCTCGCCCTYCTGCATGGCTTTCGTGCAGTGGAGAAACGCTGCTGCGTGGCCATCAAGGCTTTAGAGGGGGTGAAAAGCTGCTACAAGTAGAATTCTTAGGTTTGGGGTTGTTGGAAGCTTAAGGATTTGCGAGAGAAAACACCAGCCTAAGAATGGTTATTCCATGCGTGCACACATCTGTGCAAACAAAGAGGCTAAAGCTCTTTGAGATGTGTCCTRCCTTGTCCCTTTGAGTCAGGACCTCGCCAAAGAGCTTGGCTCAGTGCTCTCTGCTGCCTTCTGTTTCCCTTCAATACCATCTTTAAGCCAGAAGGCCTGAGAGACCTTGTTAGTGGGAGACAAATGAGAACAAGGCGGTGCTGATATGATGAGACAAGATGATGATGAGATAAAGACRATGCTGGATAGCCCTGGAACAGCAAAGAGACAATGACAGAATGATTAAATGCTCAGACAAAAAGAGAGCAGATGATGTAATACTGGTGATAAGATGCCAAAGAGGCCAGATGTTGATGAGGTGTTGACCAGATGATGCTAGAAATATAACAACTGGAAGACCAGATAGCAAGATGCTGCTGCGATGGTGTCACTAAGGCAATGAGAGGGTGTCAAAAATGTGGTGGCATYGTAACAAGAGGATGAGGAGAAGATGTGAAAAAGACCATAAGATGTTGAAGCTCTTGGAGGTGTTCATGAGATAAAGTCAAAAAGATGATGAAATCATGAGCTGATGCCTAAAAGACCAGACAGTGATAGGCTGAGAAGATGAAATGGTGAGAGGATGAGACGGTGACAAGGCGCCAATGTGTCAAGATGTGACGAGAGTGATTTGCTGACAGGGAGAAGGTGATGGTGAGGAATCAATGACAGCACAAGTCACGCGCAATGAGATGAAACAATAAAACGACAACAAGACCGTGATGATGAAGGTATGAGATCATGATGAGGCAAGATGACATAATGCTAAAGGACGATACAATGATGCCAGAAAGACCAGATGATGATGAAAATAATGAAGTAATGTTGAAATAATGCTAAGAGGAAGCCCCAAAAAAGGGACTAGATAAAGACAAGATGTTGGAAAGATGATGTCAAAAGGGTGATGAGATACCATTGAAAAGATTCATGATTTAACCTGAGAAAGATGACAAGATGATGGGAGAAAAATAAAAAATACAACAAGAGCATGTTGAGATTCAGCAATGAATTTGTGAGAAAATGATGATGAGATCAGGTGATGCCAAGACCAGAGGGTGACATGAAAAAAAACAGATGGTGACAAGCTGGTGATGAGACAAGGRAGATGACAGAATGGTCACGAGACAATGAAGGAATAAGTTGGTGACAAAAAGGTGGTAGGGTTGAGATGACAATCACACGATGTGTCAACAGTGACAGCAAGATGAGTCAAGGACCATATAGATGAGACAAGTCAAAGACAGCGAGAGGTCAGTTGAGTTGAGAATGAGAGGAGGGGACAAAAAAAAAGACCAGGAGACTGTCAAATGTATGACATGAAAGAGTAGTTGATAAGATGTTGATGAGGCAACAGTGAAAGGATGATAATGATGAYGTGATGATCAGACCATGAGATGAGGATGACTAGATGACAATCAGATGATGACAATATAAGGATGATCAAATAATGATGAGTTTAGGAGAAGACCAGGGAGAGAAGATGCTGATGTGGAAGAATTGCTTGAAAAGGGCAAAATTAGAGGAAAAACTAGGGCATACTAGAAGTTTTGGCATTACAGAAGCTTGCTTGGGGTGATGGAGAGCTGTCACTTCCAGGATGGTTGATACGCATGGACTCTGCTCCCCCACGCTTCTCTGGGCAGTACAATCTGCCCTCCTTGCAGCTGCAAAGAGGAGTAACAGAGGGTGGAGCAGAGCGAAGACACCTTGGCCAAACTCTGTGRTACTCCCTGTGCTGGGCTCTCAGACCAGCTTTGCTTGAACTTTGCTCATTATAATGTCAAAACACACCTCCATCCCMAAAGTTACCCTCCTCCAAGGTGCAACCACTCCTCACCGAGTGTGCGCTCCAGGTTTTCCCTTGACTAGACCTTTAAATGAAAGCGAGAGACTTTTTCACCAATCAATAACAATTAAGCATGACTACAGTCCCTCAAGTTCCGCCTAAATGTAAAGAAAAAGTGTAGAAGTTGAACTAAGGAGGAAAGAAGAGGGAATATTCCACTGTAACTTCTACATGAGTTGACGGGCTCAACGCCTTTCCTCCTCTCGGGTCAGGATGCYGCCTGAGGAGACTCCTCGAGCCTGAGAGCTCTCTCCCATCTTCTGGGGTGAGTGATGATCGCACATTTGTACATCAGAGCTMGCTAAAAAACACTGTAGTAGAGAATTTCATGTACCAACATCCAAAGCCCTCTTTGTAAATGTTGCATTTGAGTAAATCACATTATTCATGAACTCAATTCACTGTTTGGAAGGTGATTGGACCTACAGTCAACAACCTGCTCATGATTCCAGTACTGCGAGATGCAGGCCTCTTGCTGCCAATGGTATTTGATATCTTCTTCCTCACTCAGCCCCAGCTGCAGCAGCTGGTGAGTTGATGGTGACCATGAGAGAATGCAAAAATGACGACAAGATGAGGGTGTTGATGAAGTAATGATGAGGCAATGATGGTGAGACGGCATGAAGATGATAGCGATGCTGGTGACGTGATGAGACATAAAGATGATGGTGAGATGACATCAGGATGATGCAAAGACAACAAGGCAAGGTTGCTTGTGCATTGATGACAAGATGATGAAAGCAAAAAAACATAATAATAGACTAATGATGAGGATGAGACTTCAATCTCGSACATGAACTTTGGGGGAAACCAGGCCTGGGGCCAGATCCAAGAACTGCGATGTGACTGCCTACCCTGCCAGCCGCTCCAGTGCTCTTCTGGCAAGACCTGGACTTCTCCAAGCCACCCTCTGTGTGCTCGTGAGGAGCCAGAGGCTGGTCCCAGGTGGCAGGTTGGTGTGCAGCTCTCCTTCCAGGGCTCTAGGCAAGCTCCCCGGACCAGACACGGGCTGCTCCCTGCCAGGCAGCCTCCATCCCTCAACCCCGAGTGCAGTGAGGTGCCTCCTAAGCGCAACCCTTGTCTCGTAGGAGACCCTTGTCTCATAAGAGAGCTACAGCCAAGGAGCTGCAGCCATGATGGCTTCTGGGCTGGGCAGACAAGGGAGATGAATCACAGACTTACACAACCACAGAATGGTCGAGGTTGGAAGGGACCTCTGGAGATCATGTAGTCCAACCCCCTGCTCCAGCAGGGACACTCAGAGCACAGGGTGGCATCCAGGAGGGCTTGGAAGATCTCCAGAGTCTGCCACAACCACAGCTGCTGCTGGAGCTCTGGGAAGGGCAATGAGCAAAGCCACCAAGCAAGGCAGCAACAGAGGAACTGGGTGCATGGACCATTCTGTGGGTGCCATCACTGCAGCTTGCCTTGGCACTGGGGCCTCGCCCCCAACTGCAGGAAGGCATGGAGATAAAGCACGCGCTGCCCGGCTCTCGGGGTTCGCAGCACCCCCAGCCCCTCCGCCTGGCAGCCCTCGTTATCACTTAGGTGTTGCTCCCTTATCTGGTGCGAAGTCGCGGCCCACTCGCTTCCTGCTCCCCGGGTCGTTGCCGCCACCCGGCGCCGCTCGCATCCCAGGGGTTTCGGAGGCTTTGCAGGCACCCCGGGGAGCCCCGGGGCCCGCTCAGGTCGGGGCCATGAGCATCTGAAGAGCTGCGGAGGGAGATGCCAAGGTGGGACTGTTTATCCGGGGTCTCCGTGGAGGGATGGAGCCTCCATGGAGGCTGTCGTCACGGCGGCGGCGTTCGCGCGAGCCGGGCTCCGTTCGCACCGCGGGGCCGAGCGCGGCGGGATGGGCGAGCGCGTCTGGCACCCGCCTCCCCCGGCCACAACACCTGCGGAAACGCGCAGGAGCCACGGAGCCTGCGGGGCCGAAACGGGCAGAATTGGCCCCCGAGGGGCCGTGCTGGAGACGCGGATGGTGCTGGGTGTGAGAAGAAGTGGAGGTCTCACCCCAAACTCCTGTCCTGGTGCAAAACTATACGTTTTAGGGAGTTTGTAGGCAAAAACTAGAGTTTCCCAGGTCCTTTTGCTGCGCGGAGCCCGGGCCGGCACCGGGACCAAGCTGCTTAGGTGCTCGCAAAGCCCTCCAAAGGCCAAGCCCTGCCTCGGCACGAGCGCAGCGCGTCCGCATCCCAGAGCAGACTCGGCTTCTGGCTTCCCACCACCAGCTCCGGCTTGCGGAGCGCGGCAGCCAAGGGAAAACCGTGCTGAGGAGGGGAGGGAACGCAAAGCCAAGCCGGGCGGATCCCCGAGTCGATCCTGGGGCTGGTACCGCTGCTGGCGGCACCGGCAGGGGCAGCCTCCGAGCTGCTCCGCGGCCTCTGCCGCCTGCCCTTCCCGTCGGCCTCCAGCTCACAGCACCGAACGGGGGCGGCCACTGGGTGCCCCGAGGGAGGCGCTTGGGACCCTCCCCAGCAGGATGAAGTAAATTGGGAGCAGGACGGGCTGCGAGGCTAAAGCAGCCGGGCCCCAGGCCCTGTTCCTGCCGGCCGCCGGCCTCCAGCATCGCTATCCCAGAGGATCCCTATCCTAGCACATCCCTATCCCAGCACATCCCTATCCCAGCACGTCCCCGTCCCAGCTCATCCCTGTCCCAGCAGATCCCTATCCCAGCACATCCCTACCCCAGCACATCCCCGTCCCAGCACATCCCTGTGCCAGTGCATCCCTGTCCTAGTGCATCCCCGTCCTTGTGCATCCCTGTCTCCCGCTATTCCATGGGGAACACCCCTGCTGCAAATGCCTGGAGCTCACAAAGCAACAAGGGATAGGGGGAGATCTATAGGGACAGGGGACAAGACTGGCATTCCCATTCCTGGAGCCCCACGAGACCAGCGGGGAGGGAATTCCCGCCTGCCTCTGCTTTTACAGCTCCAGAGGCAAATGCACGAGGAATCTCGGATATCTCTCCCGCCGCCGCCGCCTCCGGCATGTGAGGCTGATTTGCTCCAAATCCAAGAGAAAAAAGGAAACCCAAAACAGCAGGGAGGCAGAGCAGGTCGGGGGGAACTTCAGCGGTGGCATCGCGTTCCCCGCTGCCATCTCCGAGGCCGGACACGGGGGAGACGGAGGCGACGGCTCCGAGCCCAGCTCCGCAGGAAGGGCTGGCGCTGGTGGATGTGGGAAAGGGGAGTCTGGAAAGCTGTGGGGGCAGAGGGGGGCGGCAGCTCCGAGGGATCCACGGGAAGGGGGAATGGGTCCGAGTGTGTGGCCAGGGAGGGGGGGTGGTTTGCACACCCCGAGCCGGCCCCGGCGCTCCGGCGGGCTCCGCATCCCGCTCTCCTGTTGCTCAGGGATGTGGAGGCAGTTGCTAAGAGACAACCGAGCAACGTCAGTATCTGGCCCTCCAGGAGGAAGAAAAAAAATAGAAAAAAAATAAATAAATAATAAAAAAGAGGGAGCCAGAGAGAAAGAGAGACAAGGGAGGAGGAGGAGGAGGAGGAGGGAGGGGAGGAAGGAGGTGGGGAAAAGCCCCGCCGGAGTCGCCGGGCTCGGCAGCGGCTTCGCTTGCGTGAGTACGCCGGCAGGGCCGGGGCCGCGGGCGCCGCTCACCGCCCTCCTCCCGCTCCCTGTGTCTCCCGGCAGGCATGGGCGCCGCGGGGCGCCGCTGAGCGCGGCGCGGCCGCCCCCCGGGGCGCCATGCGGC